ATAATAATAATAATGTGAAGACCGTTGTGTGTATTATATATGTGTACGTGCAAACGGTCGCCTGCCAGTGGGTGATACCGTCACCGCCACACGTGTGGGTCCGATGGTGGAGAATAGGATCGTCGGGGAGAGGGGGGCAGGAGGATTCCAAATGGAATATTTTTCGCATCTCCCCAGAGATCCCGTGGCATAAACGTCATTACGGCAGGCGTTGAACCATTAGCCCTTAATAAACAATAGTTTATAATCCTGTCCAGGAATTCTGCGATTGCATTGCCCATTCGTAGGTGTGTTTATATATATATACCCAGGTACATTATAACTACTGTTTCTGTGTGTCGTCTGTCAGGCACAAAAACGAACGCGGGCGGCGGGCCATGGGTTTTGACGTTTGTATAAATAATGTACTTTGACTAAATTATTCCATTTACATCTCTCTAATATTCAAAATCAAAAGTATTTTTGTATTTTACTATAGTACTACAATTTACAATACAGTGTGCGTAATATTTATGTTTCTAGAAAAGTTTTCCCATTATTCCATATTATAGTATAGTTGTAAGTTAATTTAAACATTTTAAACCAAATGTTTATAGAGAATAGTTAGTTAATATTACATTAACGATAAAAATGTATTTTTTGATATAATAATAAATAATAATAATATTCTGTACAGTGAGTACTAATAAACGTTTTACGAAAACTTGTCTCTCATCTCACCACGATAATATTCTCGTATAATATATTTGACATCAAATAATAATATTTTATTTTTTTTATAGTGGTAACAAGTTTATTAAAATTGACTTTAGTGAGAAAAATACGCTGCAGGGGTATTTACCAGGGAAAACAATACAAAATCAACTTTTCTCGCGCATAAAAATAATTAAAAAAGCTTCCTTTTTACGAGCGGTGCGCAGCTATTGCGATGACGTAATGGATTTGCGCTATTTCGCTGTTTACTCTGCACGACGGGGGTGGACAGTCGTTTATTATTATTTTTTTTCAGACAAGATCGACGACAGTCAATTTTTCGAAAGACAATCTTAATAATAAAAAAAGAAAAAAAACACATCAACCCGACTGCCGTTGACGGTAAAAATTCGACTGGCTGGTGATTTATATACGAGTCGGAACTTTGAATATTATACAGCACGGATCGCATCGAGCTTTGAGCTTCGGACCAATAATATATCTTTATCGACCGTTTCGGCCACGCTTCTGCCATACAATGGCTGCGTTTCAATGGAAAACGGATTATACGCTACTAAACGGTCTTCGAGCTAACGGCCAAAAGGCAAAAGGTCTCGCCAGAGTTTTGGCAATGGTACAACAGCTAGCGGCACGGCGTCAACGTGCGTTATTACTCTGTTGATGTTACACGGAAGAACACGACTAATCCGCATTGTTTTAGCGCCCGTCTGCTATGGTTTTGGTTCTTTAGACGTCCAAAACACGAGTTCCTCCCTCGGGAACGACAACGATTACGACGACGACAACTACGAAAAATAAAGAGTTGTTGTTTGGTACATTTTTCTAACGCGATCTTACACGCTGTATTCAGCATCGTAAACATTATATTATTATTCTCATCCTACGATGACGTGTATAGTATTATAAGTTATAACGTTGGCTTCTTTGGAGTCCATCGAGCACGGCGACGTGAAGAATTGAATAAATTATGCTCAGAATATGATCGACTGGTCGTGTCACATATAGTGAAAACACTATTTATACTACGACGAGTTTACCAATTGTATATTAATGGCTATAATGTACTGCACTGAGTGCACTTTGAATGAAACGCAATTATATTCTAATGAATTGACTATTAAGATTTACGATTTACGACAAATTTAAATTTAAACGAAATAAATTATGTAAATCAAAATAGTGTTGCTTAACAGGAATTATTAAATTACAATATTCATTATTCAGAATTATTAAAATATTTTAATATTATATTATAAGGATACAAAAACAAATTAACTGCACGTCATATATCACTAGTAGGTAATTATGGGTTCCGATGTAATATTGTTGTTGATCTCGCATTACTTCTATCTGAAATGCACAGGCCCTAATATTGGAAAAGAGTTTACGAGGGATTAGTTCACTCAAACGATTACCCCCCCCCCCCCCCGTCATGAAAAATTGAATTATATTTTGGTCTATTTTGTGAAGTCGATAATTTATATCTCTAATCTGTCTCATCGCAAAACTAAAAACATTTTATCTTACTACAGCAGGTAAATAACAATAACAGTAGCATATAATAATAATTCAATAACAATTCAAAACTTCGGAGTTTTTGCTGTTCAAGAAATACCATGGGTTTTTATTACTAACATGACGTATATGTTTTTTATTATAAACAACGGGTAATAGTTATCATTAATTGAACAAACAATATTTAAAACATTGATAAGGGGAGGGGGAGCGTTGTTACGCTCATTAGTCTGCCTATATATTTGTATTTATTTATTAATAAGCCCACGAGAGCTCGAGTACAGTATATTATAACAATATTACAATGTTAAGTTTAATACAAAAGAAAATAGACTAGAACAAATACAATAGAGAGTTTAATTTAAGACAAGTTAAAAAGTATAAAATATTTATTATAATACATTAGATAATTATTAAAAAATCTACTGGACAGGATATTCCCGAATCTTCCCGCTCCTATGCTAAATTGCGCAGTAGCGTACCAATGCCTGAGCAACTCCCAACTATACAGCTGATCATATAAATCACTAGGGCGAATCTGAAATAATTAAACAAAGTACGTTTCGAGTGGAGTATTTACCAGCTAAAGAGTCCGTTTCCTCGAGGTAGGTATATAATATTCCTTATTGCCGAATAATAACACACGAAAATAATATAAAGTAATATACAGGGTGATTTTTTTATCGAAGAACACTCATTATTTCAAAAAGTATTAATGTTTAAGAAAATATTTTTTTACATAGTTTCAAGTTGTTAAAAAACAATATTTTTATTAAAAAATTATATTTTTAAATATTTTTTATCCTTTTAATTTTTTAAGTTTTTTACTTTTTTGAATGACAACATCTAATTTTAATTTGATATTCAAAAACAGAATATTTTTCTGAGTATTTCGATACATAAAAATTGAATTTAGGGCAATTAGTTTATGAGTTATAAGTATTTAAAGTTTAGATGAGCGGAGTAGAGTGGTACGGGGTTACCCCGCGAAATGTTTGTCCTCTACTCCGCTCATCTAAACTTTAAATACTTATAACTCATAAACTAATTGCCCTAAATTCAATTTTTATGTATCGAAATACTCAGAAAAATATTCTGTTTTTGAATATCAAATTAAAATTAGATGTTGTCATTCAAAAAAGTAAAAAACTTAAAAAATTAAAAGGATAAAAAATATTTAAAAATATAATTTTTTAATAAAAATATTGTTTTTTAACAACTTGAAACTATGTAAAAAAATATTTTCTTAAACATTAATACTTTTTGAAATAATGAGTGTTCTTCGATAAAAAAATCACTGTATTATACGCTGAGCCTCGACGGGCGGCGGAGAATATATTCCGCGCGAGCCAAACACAATGCGACGCGAGAAATCCGCTGGTGCTTTAGACGCGTATTCGATATAATAATATTGTTTTATTTCCACCGTTTTATTTACGCGCCGGTAACACGCGAAATATCAGTTTTCAACGTTACAATAACAGTAATAATAATATATTATATATATTATGACGTATAGGTACACGCGCATTATAATAATAATAATAATATTTGTGCTCGGCGGGCAACAGCTGCGGCAGGCGTTATTGTAACTCTTAAAATATTATATTATCGTTATACCTACCTCTACCTATACCAAAAGACACTTACCGTTTTGCGATAAATCGTTTTCGATTTTTTGACGGCCCCCATTTCACCTCGCTACGCTTGTACCACGGCGATAACTTATACGGTTCGCTTTCAGACCGATTTGTGTTGAACGCATTATAATGGCTAATATACTATATAATGTATATAGCGACCCACACGAGTTTCGCACAATATCGCATGAGTCGTATGTATTATAAAATGCATTAATATATTATTATTATTATTATTATTACCAATATACCCATCGTATTCGCTTGAACCAGTTGTAATTGTCAGAGTTCAATACGTGACTGGCAGAATCTGGCGAAAGATTGTCTTCAAAGCGAGACGGTATGTAGGTCGTCCCTATTCACGGCGGCTTAGATTATTCTGCTAATTCGTATTCCCATCGCTAATGTTTTTTTTTTCCTAATGAAGTCGAGGGTTAAAAGTGAATGTACTAAAACTACGAATGTAATAGTCGCATTTATTCAATGCATATTATAATATTATTATATACAGCGTCAATGAGATGGAAATAAGACTCACGAAATAATGATAACTGCCAATACTGGGTGATCCATTTACCGCAATAAGACACACCATCATTATTTCAAAAACTATTAAAATTAATGGAAATATTCTTTTAAAATAATTTTAAGTCGTTTAAAAAACAATATTTTTACAAAATATTTTATTATTTTTAACGGCAACGTGCATTTTTAATTCCTTATTCAAAAGCAGAATAATTTTTGGAGTATACAATATACAATACATTTACAAATCGAATCTTGAACCAGTAGTTTATGCGTTATAAACTTATAAATATTTAAATTTTTATGAGTGGTGTGAGGTATTACAGGGCCACAAGGGTACCCCTCAAAATGTTGGTCCACTACTTCGCTCGTCAACATTTTAAATATTTATAACTAATAAACTAGGTAGATACCTACTATTCCGAAATTTGATTTTAATGAATCGAAATACTCCGAATACTTATGATTCGGAATATGCATGGGCGTAGCTAGGATTTCAATCAGGGGGGGGGGGGCAGTGATGTAGCCAACTTTAAATCATTAAAACTCAATTTTTTTTTAAAGTATTTATTTATAATATATTATTCATTAATCATTATTTTTAAATTATAACAATGACAATCGTCTAGAGTCTTCGCAAAATCTGCTGAGAATTTTCTGTTGCATCTCTTCCTTTTTTTCATCTAGCAGCTTTCTATGCACACTTAGTATGCATAGACCTGAAATAATTTACATTGTATATGATTAATATTAATATAATTATTAATTAGCATTGATATAAAAAAACTATTTTGATTTACCATTCAGACGGTTTTCCGTCATCGTTGAACGCAACCAAGTCTTTACCCTTCTTAACGTACTGAATGACCTCTCAATAGTGCTAGTTGTACATGGCTGAGCTAAAGAAATATGCAAGGCTTGTTTTATTTTAGGAAAGAAAATATCTGTTTCTTCTACTACTTCACTCATTTCCATGTCTGATAGTTTGCTTTTAGCAAGTTTTTTCTCCTTCCAGATGTTGTACCATAATTCTGCTTCACTTTCCAAGTCTTTAATTTGGTAATAATTGGCAAAATCATTTATTTTAAGTTTAAATTCTTTGGTGTTCATATCTAACATATTTGAAGGGTGTAATAATAAAAGTGAAAAAGCAGGTATGTTTTCATCAGAAAATCTCCGTTCCAATGAGGATATTAATGAATCCAAGTATGGAATTAGTAATGATCTCTTCCAGAATTCAGCCGAATTTAACGCTGGAGGATTCGAACGATGTTGTTGTTGTTTAACAATCCTAGGAAGATTAATTTCTGCTCCTATATTCTCAGCTGCTATATTTGCAGCAGTTAATAATTCTTGAATTTCTGTGTCAGCGTGTTCGCGGTGATCTTTCACTATGACTAAGTTTAATTTATGACTTGCACAGTGAAAAAATAGAGCATGTGGATATTTTTCTCGTAAAATTGTTTGCACTCCATTGATTTTCCCTGCCATAGTTGCGCAACCATCATAGCCTTGTCCAACAAGCTTCGTTCCATCGAGACCTTCGTTTTGAATAAAATGATCTATTGCACTAGCTATGTTAACAGCATCCATGGCATGTAGTTCAATGAAGCCTAAAAATTCTTCTCTGATAGCCCTTTTCTCATCATCATGTTTCCTATGTATTGTGGAATTTTGGTAATTCTACTATAAATACCAAGGGAGTGGTTTTGTCCCGCGCAAAACAGTTTTTCGCTATATTGTATGCTTGTAAGACGAAGACAACGCATGCGGGTATAGCGTCCTCTTAATATATCATAGTTGCGGCAGGCGGCGGTCACAATACATAGTGTATATATTATATAAGTAAAAGACTTTGTACTTATTTATTTTACTTTGTAACTATTTATAATTCTAAAACAAGATATGTACTTACCACCAAAAAACTTTCTTATGTCCATCGTGTAAAATAATATTAAATGTAAACGTTATATATTATATTCGTTACTTACGCGAACACAGAACGGCACGTACTGCTGTCTGCTGCACTTGATTGTTGACACTATCGCTGTTGATATTAATGTATAAAGCACATAACGATTAGCGTTTAACTCATAATTCAAATAATCTTTAGATAGACTAATCGATAAAATATAAAACGATTACACGTGTAGATATCACTCGGTCCCACTAAACTATTTTTAGACTTCATGTACTTATATCATATTTAATATTTCAATTTTAACGTAAAACTTACACGTGTGATATAAGAAATACAATTTAGTTTGTAGTGCAGGGGGGGGGGGGCACTTGCCCACCCCTGCCCCATACTCGCTACGCCCATGGGAATATGAAATATAAAATGTATGTTGTCGTTCAAACGAGTAATACAGTCAAAAATTATACCTAGCGATAAAAATAGTAAAATTTTTAATTTTTCCAAAAATGTTGTTTTGTAATGGCTTTAAATGATGTGCAAGAATAATTATGTCAAACACATTTGTTTTCTGTAATAATGAGTGTCTTACGTTAAATTGATCTCTCCGTATAAATGTGGTAGATACCTACCAGCTACAAACGACGTTACTGGTTTTTTTTTTATCAGTTTAAACCTAATTATAATATTTTTAACATTTCAAACGTACCAATTAATGCTATTCCTTCTGATTTTTTTCTGTTTATATTATTTTAATTATTAATAAGAGAAACTATGTAGGTGCTCTTTGAAGTTTTATTTTTATTTTTGTAACAACACAACTTCTGGGCATTAAATAAAATACCAACCTGTACTGTAATTTCTTTGCATTTTAAAATGAAATTCAAAATACAGGAGTTATTAAAATATCAAACATAAAAGTTTTGAGAATTTACTAATTATTTAGCGCATAGTGGCTAATTGTAAAAATCGTTAATCCGAATACATATTATGTATAAATTGTATATTATGTTTATGTATAAAATCGGAATAAAACTCAGAAATTTTAAAACAGACAGAAAAAAAATCTTAAATTACCTGTAAATATTATTATGACAACAGACTCATTATGTTATTTAAATACTTACTAAACTATTTCCGTTTAAAATACACAATTATATCAATAAGATCTAACAACTTAGCAATGCACGTAATCCGGTAGTGTGTATCCGTATTCAATAATATCTATTACCTATAGAGGTATCTAATTAAATTACGAAAAACATAAGATAATATGCCGTAACAAAATATTCTACGTTATCAAAATAATTGCCAGATGGGTAGGTACCTATTATAAAATAATAGTTAATACTTAATACTTAACGTAAGCCAAGAAATATGTATGTAATTGTAATACGAAACAAAAACGATAAGACACGACAAATGTTTAGCATTTTAAAAATGTCTGTTTGTCAATAACCTTATAATAATATCCTCTAACAAGAATATTATTAATGTGTCTTACAAATTACAATCAGGTAATAAAAAATTATAAAACATCATCATTAATGTATGTTTTATGAAGACATTTTGTCATCATCACCACTGTGGTCTGTACCCGTGAAGGTGTAGTAGAGGGGTCTGATACGCTTTTTAATTTTATCAGATTCTTGACAGGAAGTTAACCTTTTTCCAACACTGGCTAGGTACTAACTACTATTATTATTTTCATAAAATATTATTTGTTGGTTTTTACTATAAGTAGTATTATTATCGAAACTAAAAATGCATTGTGATATACAATATTGAATAATATTCATTATGCATCTTAGCTGTTATAGATACTCGAGTAATAATCGTTGTTGTTACAGATATACGCAACCAAAGAACTGTTAGCTATTTATTTAGTTAAAATAATTCTATTGTACATAATATCTATGGAATATTTACTATTTACTTTTATAGTTTACAACTATTTTTATAATAATTTTTAAATTTTGTTTTTATTATTGCGCTCTAATAATATAATGTTAATAGGTACCTATACAATATACATTTTATACATTTGTAATTATTTATGTGTTTAATGTAGTTTGACTAGTACCTATGTACTATATACATTAGTACATTATTGTTTTAGGCTTTTAATGAAAATGTCGTTATTATCTTTACAATCGATCTTTGACGATTACTTATTAATGCGTAGATTCACAATTTTCCGTTTGACTTGACCCATATGCTAGTCAGTCACCTCGAGGCCAAATAACATTTGCATAAAACTACTATATTGGAACACACATACTCGTTAAGCCGTTATTATAATTACATAGACCTTTCAGACTCGATAATATTATTATAATAAACACCACCGAGAACCACAACTTGTCTACAACTAGTACACATACCTATCACATTTTATATCATTTTTTTTTTAAATTTAATATACACACTCGTATTATCCTTGCCGAGAACACGGTTTCATGTACCTACAACATACGTACATGTATGTGTTAATTTATATCGTTCGGCTAGAAAAACATTTGCGTATAATATATACATGTGAGTGATTTATAATCTTATGTTAGTTGTAAGTACACTATAGGTATTATTGGACATGATTAATATTTAATATTTTCTGAAGTGCGCTATCATATTTTATAAATCGTACGTGCATTTGGTTTTGTGTATGAAACGCGAATTGCTTCAAGGGCGCATAATTAATAGCAATTACATAACAAGAGGAACTAACGAACGAAAACTATACTCTACAGTCTACGATCATCGACGTTCATAAAAGTTAATTAATAAATTAATAAAGCAATTTTAAAATTTTAAATAGTGTACCTACATTGAAATGGATAGTGAAAAATTTTATTTCAAAACCAATATATTATTATACACAGTTTACGATTGAAAAAATCATTTAGTACATTGTAGTATTATACAGCGGTTATTCAATAATGACGGAATAATGCATCTTCAACCACTCCGTCTTATAAATTTCTTCGATATCTTTATTCTTGTATTTATTTCTGTAAGAAAATAATAAAATATATTATATAACGCGTTGAACATCGTGGTCGTAAAACATCCGAATATCGAACACCCTCCCTAGAAATTACGTGAGAGTTCATGACGATCGTGTTTTAGAGGTGTAGAAGATGTATAACGTGCGTATATATATTATTATATTTATCTAAATATATACGCCCAAAACGATTATTTTAGAGAGCTTCTTGCACGAAAACGGGGCGACAATGGGGGAATACGACTAAAAATAAAATTGAAATGCAGACGATTGCATAAAAATAACGCCATCGTCGGTGCGTTAGTTTTATTTAGTGTCGAAAACCTACCTATAGATATAATAAATGTATCAATATATTTGTGTCATCAAAGTTCGTAAATCGAATACCACATACGATGACATGCGGTTATATTATTTTTTTCATGACGAATCGTTGAAGGCGAATATAATAATATTGTATATCATTGTCAGTAGTTGGTACCTAGATATATATATAAAAATGTCAATATATTATAATACATAATATGTGATATGTATACAGTAGCGCTGGAGTCCATAATATATTTTATAGTTTTGGTCACGGCACCACCACTTTTCTCAAAATATTGTCGACTGATTTGTCTTATCTTCAGTTAAATGTATTTAAGTCTAGACAACAATATTATAGTAAGGAACAAACTTTTCGTTTAAATAACTAACCATAAAAAGAAATTTTTCTAATCGTATATTTTTTTAAGCTATATAATATGCTTTATATTATAATTTATAATGTTATATATATGTGTGTGTCGGTGTATGTGTTATAATATTATAATATGTATAGTATAAATTATATTTATATTTAATCAATTTCGTTTTATGAATGTGTGAGTATCACTTTTGAATGCCATTATTATCTACCAGTTTATTTCAGATTTTATAGAATAATATTATTCATAATTAGTGTTTTTTAGCACCCCAATGTGCTACTGGGGAAGAGTTAGCTATACCAATTAGTATATTCAACCACTTTTCTATTCTAAATAGTATTCATTAAATCTGTACACGCTATTATAGGTGTCAGTCTTGTAAAGAATTTGAGTAAAGGTATTTAAACACTTTTATAGTGTTTAGAAGACTTTTTAAATTAAGTGTTTAGAAAGTAATTCAAATACTGTCTTCATTGCATTTGGATTTGTAAATAAAATACCTAGTGTTATACAAATACTTTTCAAAATATAATTGAACAAATTGTCAAATAACTAAATATGACGTGTATATTATGTCTTCCGTTTATTGTTTAAAAAACGTTAAAACATTTCAGAATTAAAATATAACTACATTTTATTAATTTTAATTTTTCGGTATGAAATTAAGTATAGGCAGCACAAAATTCGAATGATAGGCAGGTACTATTAAATTTGACTAACGATTTTAAATTATAAATAACTAATTACCATATAACATTTTTTACACACTTGTACAATTAAAGATTGATGTTAAATAAGAATAAAAAACTAAGGATATAATATTATGAATACAGCTGATATTTGAAAAATGCACTTTGGTCATCTCTGTTGTCCTTGGCTATACTTTTTTAGAGTTTTCAAGCCACCATAGCTGCAGAGATACGACGCATAGCCATTTATATGGATGTAAATCTTGATCCTCACTGCGGTCATCCGTTGGAGCAGGTATATCTAAGCCGGGCTTGAATCTTGGCGCGCACACACACACACACAATATAATATATATAAGTACCTACGTATATGCGATCAAAAGGCAAATGGCCCGAAAATTATAACAAATAGATACAAGCGTTCCGAGCCGGTCTAGTTTTTATATTTGGCCCCGGGACGACGATGTCTCGACGTCAGAGAGAGATGTGAGGCTAGTGTGCATGATGGGGTATGAGGGGCAGGGGCGACATGATGAAGAGGTTGGCGTGCGAAATTCCGTTCCGGCGGCGGCGTCTGCGAATTGCGGTTCGTCCGGTTTGAGTAATCGTCGTCATCGCCGTCGTCTGCGGACCTAAATCGGACAAATCGTTTTGCACCCGATCGTCGGACGTTTGTCCCGACCCATTTGTAAATTTTCCCCTTGGCGTATTATTTTTTTGCTCTCTCTCTATTCGTTACATCCCTCTCGCGAATGTGTTACTTCGCGATTGTCGTGAAAACACGCACAAATGCGGTGCTTTGCAGTCACATAATAATAATAATAATAATAATAATAATAACAATAATATAACGGTCGTATAAATAATAATAATAATAAAGTATTTTTCGTGTTTCGACGCGGACGTTCAATAAAATCGACGGGCGGCGCATATATTATAATAAAACGGGTTATTATTCCTTCTTCCGCAAATAAAACGGATGATTCGTTTCCGCGCGTGGTGCGACGATTGTCGAGTTGTCAAATAATATAATATCATAATATACCCGTGTAAGATGTTATAACACTTTAAAGTTTTAAACAATATTATATGCTGTCGAGACTGTCGTGTACTTACAAAGTTTGTCATGTTTAGTTACGTGCATGGTGCATATAGCCGTATGAGATGTGATAAAAAAAACGACATAAAAAAAACATAACACAAATCCGGCTAAGGAAAACAAATTAAACTTCTAAGTTACAAGAAATATTCGTAGAAAAGTCCAATATGATCGTGCGTAAAGTCTGCAATCATCAACGTGGCGTTATTATGGATTCGGATGATGAACGTGCTTTTTTCGAAAAAGAATACATTTTGATTACCTATCGCGCGATGCCTGTACAATAATAACGACGTAGTGCCTACAATAATATTATGTGGTTTTTTTATTCGTCCACCCACTCCACAGAGGTTGTACGACACCAGAATTGATTTTGGAGCTTTGAATTCGTTATCGTATTGTCAAAACGTTTGGTTTTTATGCGGTAAAAGATACGTTTGAACGTCCTTTTACCAAATATTATTATAATATAATGATACAATACCTACATTATAACAAATATTATAATAATATATAATATATATACATCATTTTGTTTGGATATGAATATTTACAGTTTTTGAATATTATTATTATAACTCAAAGTCATATTATTTTCGTTTTATATACACAATTATTATTTCAAGATGTTCTTATTTTCATATCATATAAATTATACCAAAAAATATTGGATATTTTCTTGTGTTGATAATTATTTGATTCATACAAATTCGTGAACAAATTAAACATAAATACGAGTATAGAGTATAAAATATCTGTGTACTACGAGTTCGGAAAAAAATATTATAACTATTATCACGTATTATGCAGTGAGTATAGAAGATACATGTGTTTTAAATTCTGTGCATATTTAAGAAAAAATTAAAATGCATGATGTATAATATATTATTTCTTAAAAAAAATGGGTCATAATAATTTAAAATATATTTTAAGGTAGATATTTTTACTTTGAATATGTAAATTTGAATAACTCATGACATTTGTTATATTTTTGTTTAGTATGTAAACCGCAAAGTAAGTGAAATTAGAAAGGTTAATACCATATAGGTTCTAACCGTAGGTACACAGTCGTTATTTTTTTTTTTTGTGTTTTATCACTAAATTATGTTTTTATTTGTTTGTGTAAAATTATTACGCTTGTATACTCGAAAGTATAGAAAATGTCACTACTTTTTATTTTGATTTCACTTACTATTTAATATATTATATTATAATAGGTTTGAGTTACCAGTTATACAACACGTTTTTAAACTTCAACTGACCTTTATAAAAAATTTTGAATTTTTGAATGAGTAAAGTGTGTGCATAATAATAATGTTATGGACTTCACTGAATTTATATACAATAATATCTATATGATTAATAAAAAATATCTCTCTACACCTAAACTAAATTTTCTTTGGAATGGATTTTTGTAAATGTAATATTTATTGTATATTCAATTGGATTTACACATTTTTTTATTTATTTTAAAATACTGTTTGACGTTAGTTAAATAAAAATAGTATGAAAAAAATGAAACAGATACTGTTTTCTTATTTTTGTCACTTTCAAATCATACGTTAATTTCACATGGCTTAAATATTGAACTTGAGTTTTTTCTCGAAATAATAAATATCTTTAAAACCCCTTTCAATATTTTGTATCAAAGATTAGAGACACATTGTGGAAGGTAACTGCGTGTTACACCATATTATAGTGTATTAATGTTGGCGTAATTGTGGCAGACACATCTTAAGAGCTTAACACTTTAAAGTTGTAAAGTATTTTTTTATGTGTGTCTACCACTCTACTTACACCTTACACACTCAAAGAGGATTATAACAGGCGTCGTATTGGTGAAGTAATTAAGTTCTATCCCAAAGAAGCGATCAGATGGTCGCTAGAGGGCATGAGTGAGATAGAGGGAGGGAGTTGTGATAATCCATTTTGCGTGGTCGCATTTTAGAGCTTTCAATCGAATCCGTTCGCTTAATTAACTTTTGACAACCAATTCGTATTTTGAATAAACATATGCTTCAAATTTTAAATTGAGTAGTACTATTTGATTAACTAATGGAAAACATTTTAAAATAATAATTTATTTCTGATAATGCTTGAGCTCAGTTTTCGTTTTAACTAATAATTTTTAAAGAAACTGATATTATTTATTGAATAACAATATAACATAACATTTAATTTTTTTATATAATATTATTGAACAAAATGTAAAAAGGATAAAATGAAGGTATTTTTTTTTTTAGAAATCAATTTATGGTTTAACGGTTCATTTATGGTTCATTAACAATCGGTTAATAGATATCGATTGAAATGGTTAATAAATAACACATCAAAAAGCAGAAAAATTATTATATATTTCGTTAACATTAATTTATTATTATTATTTATAACTTGGAATAATTTTAAATTTTAGAAACATAAAATTAGTACTGATAGGGTACCTATAGTATAACACAGTTAACACAACATACATTGACTAGGTACCTGTGTGTTGTGATCTGCTTCATTCATATCAGTAGAAATCATTATCAATATTGACGGTGAAAAGGGGATTTAAAATAAAATTGTACAATCGAATATTATATAAAAGAAACAGCAAAATTTTTTCCCCACTACGATTTCAATAAAAATAAGTTATAATTGTCAAGAAATTCTAAACTTTTGGGATTATTAAAATGGGACGAAACGCGTATGAAACACTCATGTTAAGTGTTGTAGTATTTTTAAAGTTAACGTTATTTCCTGGAAAATTCTTAAAATTTTCTGTTGAAAGTATGTATGTGTTATCTGTCTCAGATTTCTGACCCTCAGAACTTAGAAATATATACTATGAAACGTTTGAAGAATGAAGTTTGAGAAAAGTAAATGGCCAACCAAACTAGAATATCATACATAATTAAGAAATCAATATAGAATGTAGATTTATAATATATCAGCTTGGAATAAAAAATAAATAATAATTATTTACAGAATGATTTAACTATTTCAATTTCGCCGTCATAAAAATGAATGTAAACTAAATTATTACATAGATAAAATAAAATATAATAATATTTTCAAATTGACAAAGGAATATATTTTTTTTTTAAACAAATGAATGATAGAGATAAATTAAATAAAGAAACGTGATAAATTATATATGATCATTGTAAATGATAAATTATAATAAACGGAATAGAGTTTTGTTTTATTATATTAGTAGTTAGGTACGCTGTACATGAGTTTATTCACGCATAACCAATTCAACTTGAATTTAATTTTAATTTTATAAAAAATAAATTGCCTTTTATTCTCGTAATATTGGTTTTTTTTTATAATAACGAATGTTGTTAAATTCATTATTATTATTATTATTCGAGATATTTAAATTTAATTAAAGATACGTTTAAATGAAATCGTGGCTCAAGTTTTCAATGTCGTCTTATGTATTTAGTGAACACTATCATTTTTTTATAAATTGAAATATTAATTAAAAAAAATTTAAAAATGTTTTAATATTATTAGTTGTTACGATATTTGATGAATATTCATCTAAACACACTCATTTATAATTAAATTATACATAAATAATTATGTAATAACTAAATTAACATACTTTACATTCACTGATTATTCAAACAATAATATTATATACCTACTAAAACCATTTCGTGAGTAATTACTAATTTGTATACCTCTACACAATAATGTTATTACTTATTACCGATGAATGATAATATTTGCTAATTTATTATAAATGTCAATAATATCTATTACAATCTAATACAATAATAATAAAAGGATAGTTAGTACATTTTAAAATGAATTCGAAAATTTAATTCGATAGTAAAAATTAAATACCCCGTCGTTTTCAATTTAACAAATTATTTACAATCGAGGATATTGTCCGGAAAAGTAATAAACAAATTGATGACATCACACGGGAGTGTTCTGTAGGTACTATGTGCGTTATGTACTTATGTAAATCTTTAGTTTAATTTATGATCTGTGATACCGTACTCTCTTGGGTATCGTTTGTCATGGTAAAATGTAGTACCTACCTATAACGAAATGGTTTTTAATTACGTTTCAGGTTCAGCACTTATGCAGATCGTCGAGGTTTACAAGGAAATCCAATCACAGCAGCTAAATATCGTAAGTTAAAAACACACAAATTAGTTAATACCTATTATATAGAAAAAAATAGTTTATAAATTCTTTCTTCTGCTTTTAATTATAAGAACATTTCTAAATTGTTTTACTATATTTCAAGTCAAAGTGCTCTTTTAGTTAAACTATAAGATAATAATATATATTTTGTACTTAGGAAACGTAAACTAAACCGAGTAAAGTTGTTTAATACACGAATTTTTGATATTTTTGATGTCGGATGATAGTAAAATAATTTAACTTTATTCGCCTCAAGCAAAATTTATAATTTAAACTGATTGCAAAATTCAAATACCTAGCCTTTTTTAGTGACTGCGAAAAGTTTATTAAATACATTATATGAGAATATCGAGAGGATTACCTACGATAGTAATCAAAAAAGGAAATTAGTATCCTACTTCGATGACCAGTTAATATACACTTTTATTATGAATAATTGATTAGTTTTACATCCGTCGCTTGATTAATATTTCATCACCAACCGAAGTCAGAAAAATTACATTGAACTCAGAAATAAAATATATAATGTAAACAGCGGTATACGAATGAAAAAAAAAATGTCATCTACAAAAAATAAAATGTAAAAGTATATTTAATATCCTCAGATGGTTGCATTATTTATCTAAGGATGAACTCTAATAATGTGGTTTATAATCTATATATTATTATAATATTATTCAGACGTTTTTATAATATTTAATTAAAATTCAATAAAACTTTTCCGATAACGAACAAACATGTGATGCGTATTAATGCTGTTTTTTTTTCATTTTAAAAATATATTTATCGAGCCGTAGCAAAAATAACGTTTCCATAAAGCTATATTATATTATTATGTAAATTATTCGGTCTATTCATACCATGTGCCGACGACGTTTAAATCTTGTGCATGTGAATTCGATTATAATTCTACAAATATAATATACTATTATAATACCACTGTATCTTTATATTTTTTTTTTCTATGTCCCAGGAAATTCCACAAAAAAAATATCACTTATATAGTATTATTTACTCACTCTGTCGCACTTACTTTGTACCTACTATAAATAACATAAGTCCGAAAATTATTGTCTTATAGTGATGAGTGATGACTATCTTAGCAGCGTGTACATAATGATGGGTAGGTAGGTACTTGTTTTTTTTTTGTAATCGCACTTTTTCCATACTTTTTTTTCCCACAAATGCTCTCAATGAAATTTTAAAACCAATCCAGTGTAGTAGTAAGTGTATAAAAAAAATATGGCGTACATCACGTAACAATGTATAATAATATAAAGCATTTCGATTTTAGCCTCAGGTTTTGTAAATCGTCCAGTGAGAGAATTATTATAGTCATGCGAGGGTTCTGGCATTTATCCCACTCCCTCTCTCTCTCACACACACACACACACACACACACAGACTCACAACTGTTATAATTTCAGCCTAACTGCAGATCATAGGCCACCCTCGTTTTCGCGCTCGTCGTTACAGTCATTAACATAATAATATATCCTGTCGTCTCTTCTGTTCGCTCTGTTTTGCTCTTCCAGCCGATGTTACAACTGTTGGCCAGCATGGGCGGCTTTGGTGTACTTTATTATATTGGCATTTCGATTCCATTGCCGGTGGCTGGTCGGTCACTTAATTTATTCGCACATACTAGAACGCTTCATATTATTATTATTATTATTATTGTATTTGACCGTCAATAGTCGTGCATCGATATTCGATACCGAATTACGACTTATAGTTTTTTTTTTATTATATTTATTTTAAGAAATAACTTTATCATTTTCATTCTAATAACACAATACAATAATCTTACCTCCAATCGTTATGCCGTTCCGTTTATTTCAACTATTATAGGTAGCAGGTGGTATACATACAGAGCATTAATGTGCACGATATAATACAGCACGCGCTTTCGTAACATATTTTGCACTTTCTGTTCGGTATAATGTCAACCGACTAAGAGAAACAGGTCTAAATGGACGTAAATCAACAGAATCGATTTCGTATAGGTGTAACTATTATTTAGCGAAAATCGTAGAAAGTTAATATCTAGTAAAGGTTAGCAGTATTTTGACTAATGGATTATAATTCATTTTTAATAACAGTCAAAATACTATACCGGATAGTTATCGATATATTAAATTTAAGGCGTCTAACTGGTATAAAATATAACCACAACATATAATAATATGTATATTGTATACCATAAAATGTAATATACCTACTATATATATTAGACTTATTTTGTTACCACCTGCCGTCATGCAGACCGTCAATTAAGCCGATTTACACTCATTTCTTGATGAATAAAAATTTTAAGGGCACAATATTATAACATGAAAAATAATTGTAGGGACGTATTATTATTTATAAAAGTGTATAGGGTAAAAAGTGTTAAATTGTTATAACAAGGCGTATACTTGATTTATGTGTATCGTACACGCAACAGCTTAAAATTATACTAAAACTATAGAAAAAAAAATCGTACCTCATATTTATACGTCCTAATTTCACACCTACAATAATTAAAACTTCTGACCTCATAAATTTAATGGACATAAAATAATGCATTTGATTACAATAAAAAAAGACGAACATTTAAGAATGTGTTTATTCTAATCTATGACTTAATCGTGTTTTTAATGAAAACTCACAAAATAACAATGAAACTTCGATGGCCCTACCTACTATAACTGCAGAGTAATGAACACCGTTAAACTTATCATTTAATAAGTGATTAGTGATGGATTTATAAGTACGAACTTAACTTTGAATGTTTGATTTAAGTTTTCGTATATACTATGCTAACAATATACAATTTCAAAACAGTAAACAAAATGAATTATATATAAATATCAAAACTTTTCTAATTAATAATTCCGCTTGCCGAGTTATGTGCATAGATATATTGTGATTGAGAAGGTATAATGCTTGTTAATAATTTTATAAGGTATCATTAAAATCGTAATCCAATCACCCACAAAAAAGATTCCGGTACGCATTATAAGTATATAAGGAGGAGAAATTCATGTTATAACACACAAAGTTCATACATTTTTTACAGGATTATAGCTGCGCAAAAGAACCTAGTGCTAAAGAAGTAGTGAATCAAATATTTTCTGATAATACTATATATAACCATTACCTACTCAATATTGCACTATAATAATGATCGATGTCATTTCGTTGACTTGTCAAACACGAATGTCGTCTGTCGTCGAAAGTTTTCTTTACTAAGAGAACTTTAGTTACTGTCGTCTCGATCTTGAATTATGAACATAAGTCCGCAGAGAGTCAAAAACCAAATAGTGTTTTAATATTTCAGGTTTTCGATGAGATTCCTAGTAAAAATGTTTTCTTGTCTTGAGTACAAACCCTGTAGGTTTGTTGTAATTCCGGTTTTAGACCAACAAACTTGTTTTGGACACAAAACGTACCTAATTATAATACGATATTTAAGTTCCAATGTACCGGGTACAGTCTTGTGATGTTATGCAATAGGTACCTATTACTAGACTAAATTGACATACCTATTATTGTCAAACCTTATATTGCATTTAAAGTCGAAAACGTTACTCCTGTGTTCGATCGACGGTATTTTAGTGATGCATCTCGAAAAAATGTGTTTATAGGATTTTTTTACTATAAAATGTCATATGCACCATAATATTATTACAACTTGTTATAATAGTATATTGTGTGGCAAGGGCGGGAAGTGAGCCATTTCAGTCGCGGGCGTCGTGTGCGGCACGAGCCGTAGGCGAGTGCCGCATTTCGCACAAGACTGAAATGGCCTTCCCGCGCGAGCCACACATACTATTTTTTGTCACGCCCCTGCGTTCATGGAAAAGGTTATGCAGGGATCTATGCGTCATGCAAGGAGGTTATACTATACATTTAAGATGTAACCAAAAGTTTATGTTTTGTAAGAACCGTGGTAGGTACTAGGTATACATTTTAATTTCTGGTTGTGCAGGGGATACGCGCCCGGCGGCCGGCACTTTTGGGGATTTCCTCTTTTCCGCCCGGCACTTTTGGGGATTTCCTCTTTTCCGCCCGGCACTTTTGGGGATTTCCTCTTTTCCGCCCGGCACTTTGGGGATTTCCACTTTACCGCCCGCTGGACGGAAAAAGGACGCTTTCGAACGCTTCAACCATGGTCGAAAACTAAACTTTCAGTGCAGGCAGCAGGCGTGACAAAAAATTGATTTACATATTGCGAAAAAAGTTCTGCTCCTATAGTAGATATATGGTATGACAAAGCCACTTCTCGATTATGCTTGACATGGACTTACCATCGCGTCCTTTTGCGCACTATTAAGACGTATGTGGATTACGACTCACATTATATTCAGTTAGATTCTATATTGACCGACGATTTTCTTTCAACTAAGTTTTATACACGATAATTAAAGACTTTATCTGCTTAAATTTTTCTCAATTTCAAATGATTTTTCAATAAGATGTTGAAAATAAACTATTCAAATTCAAATTTTTTTTCTTTTATTGTGCATTTGGAAATTGGATTATACAGTCTATAACGTTAAGCGTGCGTATAATAATATGCATAATTAACGTTTAACTCAATTGATGGTTGAGTATTTTATGTCTATTGAAAGGAGAATATAAAAAATTTTCACATTATAGATTATTGTTATCGTTGAAACGCATTTAAATAAGATATTGAGTTTCCACGGAGATACATATGTATATACTAAACTACGTACGATGCTTTTGGGACGTATTACTGCAGTACATTATTATATATTATGTCATATTACTCGTCCTATCACCTATAGGTCTTATCGTATGATTGGACTTTGGGTTTCGTATCATGTCGACTTTCCGTCGAATGGCGTGTATTATATATTTATACAGTGTACATATATATATATACATTATACCCGTGGCCCGAACTTCCGCGTGGTGAGAAACTTTTATCGATCATACAAAGTTTTTCGATATAATCTATTTTCCACTGCCATATATACTATTATACGTAACGTCACAGGGCTCTGCGGCCACGTGGCGTCGTCGTGGTTTTTATACTTTTCAAACGTATAGAAGACTTCGAATGCCGCCATCGAGGCGGCGGAGGCGGTGTTCGGCGTGACGGAGCAGGGGAAAAAATAGTCGTCGAAAGTTTTATTTTTTCAAATTGCCGTCCGACGCTATGCACGTTTTCCATTATTTTTTCTCCATAATGCACTCGCCCAAAAGGAGGATACATACAGGGCGGTCTGCAGACGTGTTTCGTCGTTAAGCTAACGTGGCAAAACGCCGAGGTAATCCGCCCTGTATATCCGGAAACGATGGCACTGCGAGGGTAAAAACACAATATGGCAACAGTCTGAACCTCGTACATATAATATATTATTAAATTATTATATATAAGCACGGTCGGATTGCACTAAACTTTTCAGATTTCTCTATATCTATGCGTGGGCCTCTTTCTCTCTCTCTTACTCCCCCACCCCCCCCCCTCTCACTCTCCGCCCGTGGTCAGTAGATTTCGATTTAATGGGCGATACGCGTCGGCTGGTCAAGTGAGGAAACCCGATTTTTTTCTCGCAGTCCTTCACCAGGCATCGGCTGTTGTAGTTCTGACGAAGTATAATATTTTCAAATTGGCGTAATTTCAAGAAAAATATTATTTAACAAATATTATTTCAATACAAAGTGATTTACAATCAATCCCGACACGTCAGTAAACCACTGCGTGTTGCATAGCCAAGAAAATATTATATAATAAAAAAAAAAAACGTATAAAGCTATACAAAATAAACTTAAACGACGGACGTTTACCTGCAAATGTATGTTGTTAAAAATATATCCATACTATCTGCAGCCTCCAGGTTACATTAAAACTACCTCACAGCTCAAATCCTCACATTATAAATTATAATATTCATGATGATTGAACACTCGATCGTTCTATATAAGTATTGCACTATTGCATAAGAATATTATTGTATCATACTGAACGGTGTTGGTTATAATACCATATTATATACACTTCGATTGCGCGTGGCCAACCGCAAAGTCTTGCTAAGTAACAAGTCATTTGGTTTTGAAATTTCTTGTTCCTCTCGGTCTAAATACTTGCCTCCGATAAAAGGTATTCTCCCAATATAACTTTTAATACAATCATAGCTGTTCGATGGTACTATAATTATAAAATATTATATATCACAATAATTCCGTCGTTCAATAATATATACAATTACATTTAACAAAATATAATATTAATGTTTGACATTTCTTTGTTTGGGATTATTTATTTGAATCACAATATCTCATGCAAAATCTTTTTTATAAGAAGGGTAAAAATATAACATTGTATAAGACTGTTTCAAAACAATATCAAAACCTACCCTTCGAATATTTCATCGTTTTTCAAATGATTAATTGTTGGGAGCGGGGTTCTTATTTTGCCATTAGACAGTAATATTAGTTTAACAATTATTAATATTATATTAAATATTGTGTTTTATTATTATTTTAGTCGATGCAAATTACACAACAGAATACAATTTGTAACTTAGGTGTACTCAACATAACTGCAGCCTTCCTAAATTTCCTCCTCTATAAACCAATTACCAAACAACTTTTATGTATAAAGTTGTTCAATTATATTAAAGTTTTGACACTAATTGTTTAATAGGTGATTGATTAAAAAAAAAACCAAAATTAATTTTATTAATGTGAAATATGACTTGTTTTAAATAAATTCATGGTAATTTGATCAGAACTAATATATATATATACATAAATACATAATTATACTAATGTATTGCATTGTGTATTATAATATAATCAATTATGATTCTATAGATTGCTACATCAACATTGCTAACACAATATTGTGAAATAAACAAATACCTGTGCAACTTTCGTATAAAATTAATAATTATTAACCAATCAATCTTCATAATTTACGCCGAAATATAAAAATAAAACCACTCATGTATATTACTATATTGTATTTGTCAATCTAGCTATGTCATAAATCTCGGATCAATATTTATTGAACCATTGCTATTGTGTAATGCATTTTAACGCATCAATAAATAAGTAACGATGTACCTAGTACCTACTATTTGAAATACAAGTCTGACTTAACGTCGATATTATATACACAATATTTCAATGATCGTATTGAACAAAAAAAAACCGTATTTTTTTTAGTATTGAATATTAGGTACTTCAAAAATAGTAAAGCAAATCATAAAAAATACACGTTTTACAAATTTGATTTTGGTGATTATTGCTGTACCATAATAATGACAAACGACCAACGACAAACAATACAATATATTATACGGAGATTTGGATTTGAATTTGTGTTTGGATTTTTTTATTTTTAATTGAAACATCTGTCACACACCCATACAACGTTACCCATAACACGTTTTGAGTTAATCAACATTAAATAATATATAAACATTCATAATATGTAAAAGGTGTTAACGTCATGTAAAATAATATAGAAAATTGTACTGTTATTAATTGAAAATTCACCTTTGTCACATTGTTTGGAGAGTATAAAAATAATATTTTGCTAGCCATTATATTTTACGGAGCTCATGTAAATTAATATCGTTTTGTTTTGTTTTTAGCTGAAAGCGTTTTATGTGGATTTGCTATTGCCGCTGGAGACAAATCTCGAAAAGGATACCAAAGTTGTACAGGTAAAGGATTATTATTCTACGCTATAGTGCTACACATATAAATACTGATAAAAAAAAAAACTTTAGGTACCTACAATGTACATGCGTCAATTATTTTAATAACGTTATGGATGGGTTTTGACTTTTGGGTTCTATAACGAGTAATTTTTTTTTACCATCGGAAACTGTGGACTAAAATGGGTATAATATTAGTATCCCTTCGTCCCTCCTTCTCCATTTCGATCACTATAATTCATGATGTGTACCATTAAAAGTAAACGTGGAAAAATGCATATTACAATAATAATGCGTATCTGATATTTGGTACGGAATAAAGAATATATGTATATTATATGCCCGTATAATATGTGTATAATATTATAATATTATACACCTTTACTATATTACGAGGTGAGTAGAGAAAATAAAATGTCCCTGTCCAATAAATAATCCAACCCTTTGGTTAGTTTAGTCTGCTGATTAACCCCTTGGTACCATTTTGTTGTTATCTGATGCAATTTAAACGGCAACAACTTTACTTTTATTTTCTATTATTGTTATTATTATCATTTTATTTTTCAGTCCGAACAAAAACGATTTTTGCAACAACATAAACAAAGATCCGAAAGTTATAGCAAGGCTGCATCAGCTATGAAAAAGTGCCGTAAAAAGCATAAGGTTGGACCCAAAGCAGGATTGGCCATGGATAAAGAAATTAAGGTAACATTTTCGTTATATCACATCTGCGATATAATGTAATATATTTGATATTTACTTACTTATTAAAAAACTTTAAAGTAGTGGTTATGCACTTATTATTTTTCGCTGAATATCTATTAAAACCCTCGAGTTATATGCAGGGAGTCCTGTGCGGATATACCCACTCGCCATCTGAACAAAAACCGGTTTTTTACCGTTTTACCTATAAACTAAATTTTTTTTTTTAAATCACGAGATTTATGAAAATAAAATGTTAAATTGACAAAATTTTCACAAAAATAAACTTTATAAAATAGATATTTTCAAAAATAAATAATAAAAAAATAATTTTTTTAAACTTTTTTGCCGAAAAAATAAAATTAAATTAAAAAATAAAATATGCGTAGCCTTGTCTCTGTGAGTCTAATAAGAAAACAGATTTATGGTATATTTATTATCTCAGGAGATATCGCAATGAGTAAATCAACATGGGACACCCCTGTATGCCTTATTTTAACTCTTTGTTCTGAATGAATTGGTAAGCAAAAAATAGTATTGTAAGTTCTCTACCGACAGAGTTTTATATTATTTATCTTGATACTAATGGTCTACTATAATAAAATATAAGAATCTATATTTTTTTTTTATTTTTTTTTCTTGGCATTCTGTAGTTGTAGAAAAAATATAATAATTTTGATACTATAATGCTTGACCAAACATCTGTCTTAAAATATAGCACAATAAATGTCGCGGATTTCGATTGAGGGTTGTTGTTTATTTTTTTTTTTTTAATGTGTACAACGGTCACTATATAATCATATAGATATATGCACAATGCACTGGCGAGGTTAAACTATGATTATTCAAATGTATTATTGCCGAGTTTTTATTTGTTTGGCACCGTAAAGCCCGAATGTGTCGGGAGATAAAAATTATTACCAGCCCATTGAAGATGCTCATTGTTTGAAAAGTACACACTTCGTTTTATAAAATACCAGGGACTTTTCATGTTATTGCTATGCAAAAATATCATACAACGTGCAAAATGTTTTGTTTGTAACGGATTTACATAAACAAAACAAAATCAAATCCTCTATATAAAACCTCTGAATAGGACCTACTCATCGTAATTATTTTTGATAAACATTATGACAATGGGTTTTAATCTTTTTTTTTTTGTATACACTATACAGACTATGCAAATCCTAGAAGAAGAAAAATCTAAATTGGATAACTTTTGCGAACAAAGTTTGAAAAATGTTAGTATCGTTATATTAATGTTAGTATCATCATGACGTTTAAGAATGTATGTTAAAATACCGTGTACTTTTTATTTATAAGGCCATGACACAAGAGAGACGTAGATATGGTTTCGTGTTAGAAAGACAGTGTTCGTTGGTTAAACACTGTCTAGCGTATCATACCAACACCCAGTCAATGTACGATGAACATCTTAATGATTGGCTCGAAGTGGCTAAGTCTCGAGAACGATTGCCAGACTCTGTTGAAACTATGTTTGCAACAAAACTTCGAGTAAGTTAAAATCTATTTGGGTGAAAAAATGTATTTACTTATTATTTATATATTATCAATGTGAATATTATAGCAAGTAAGCTTCTGGCTGGATGATGATGTTAGCTCTCCACGAATCGACGATGATAGGATTTCGATGTCATCACAATTGAGAAAAACGAAATCAATGGATGCGTCTTGCTTGGATGTTCGAGCCATGAACGATATATCTAGTCCGGTTTTAAATTATCCGCTTTCTAGAGCCAAATCAGATTTCAATTTGAACGCATCATCGCAGTCTCTGAACAGAAGTATATATAACTATATATGATAATACTCTTCGACATGATATGTATAAATGTATATTATTATAATATTATCACGGCGTTCAATGTATGTATAGGACATGTTGAAATTGGTTCAGTGTTAATAATGTAAATTGTGTTTTACACCTATTCATATTTATTGATCACCCCGGGTATCTGTATGACATATATAATATACATATTAATTTAAACACCCCTAAGCATTGTTTCAACTCATCGTGATTCTAAAATTTAAATTATTCCTTGATTAAGGATTCAGTTGTTATTGTTGACTTACGATATTTACATTTATTGATTTTTCGCAATGCACGCTCAAAAACGTATTAACATTTCAATATTAATTTGAAACATTCCATTATGAGTTTCGAGCAGTGCGAATTAATTTATCATTGGATTATACTGTCGTGCATGTCGAATTTCACTGATCAAACTATTGTCACATTTCAGTGGAGAACGGGTCGAGTCCGGGAAATAATGGATCCAGACCAAAGTCGATGGCAGTAGTTGATAACGGATGGGAATCTCAGGGTGCAAATCTTGTACAAGCAACACATGCTTATCTGTCGAGTGGTGAAAATCAACTAAGCTTCCACGAAGGAGACACAATCGCTATATCAGGTAAGTTTAATGTTTAAAAACTCATCGTACGTAGTTAAAAATGACATGCTTTACATTTTAGGGGAACGAAACAAAGGATGGCAATTTGGAGAGAATTTACGTACTCAGTGTAGTGGTTGGTTCCCGTTAACGTATACCGAACCCGTAATGGAAGACTCAGTCTTTTCGTAAGTGTGCATAGTTATAAATTATAGTGAATTATAAAATTATTATAAAACGTTCTGTGGATGTATCAATTATGGAATTATATATGACACATTTATATGTTGTTGGTTTTTTTTTTCGTTTACAGGGACTCGCCATCATCATATCGACGAAAGGATTCCGTGGGCCAGTCCACTGTCTCGAACCACAACAGAAGTGAATCAGCAACCATCGGCAAACAAAACCGTTATCAAACTACAACACTTACAAGATTCGGTGATTCTTTGTCTCACAGAAATCCATATCCGGTAAGCTATTATTCTCAGTCACTTTTCATATTTATTCTATTGTACTGCCTAAGCAGTAAGGAATACTTTTCTGATGAGACGTTCTACAACATATTTAAATTCATTCTGGCCCCTCTTCGAACTGAATTACTACGTTTGCACTATAATATAGTCAATAGGTGTCAATTAAATGTATTTTAAAATCGCACTAAATATTTTTATCTTTTTCGTGGACCTATCTTCAACAGTTTTTAACCTCACTACAAAACGATTCTCTTCCCCGTAGAAATGATATAATATTAATTTTCAATACGTTTAGACTGAAAGATAATAATATTATATTTTCACGCGGCGTCGTATATAGACATGTTACCACATAAATGTACGCACTACTATTTAACTTACCATTAACTCGTTGTTATAAAATAATTCTTTAATCATTAACTATCAATAATATTGTGATAAAATGGTTATTTTTGCTTACAGGCACGGTCCAGGGCGAACAGTAGATCGAATGGTTACGGGATCAACTCGCACGGGCCTCCGCCTCCGTCCGTTCCTGCTCCAGTAGTGCCTCGTCAGTATGGAGGGCACATACCACCCCCGGTCGCCTTTTTCCCACCACCACCCCAGACATTGCCACCTGCACCAGGAAAACCAATCGCGATCGACAAGAGAACCGGTGGAGTTCACCACCAACATGGTAACGCGAGCTTACACAGCAGCAACGACAGCGGTTTCAGTAACGATCCGCCACCGGCTCCCGAAATTGACTATTCGGATGACGAAAACGCGAGGTACATCTCATCATTGTTAATCATATTATTTTATCGTAGTTGTTGGAACCATAACATTAATGTATCGCTTAACATTAATATATGCATGAAACTTAGCGTAGTGCCATAGTACCTATGATTTTGGATTAAAACAAAACCATAAAAATAATATGCTATAATTATAATTGTATTTATGTTAAGTGAACAAGCATGAGCCTAACACAGTAGTAATATGTAACGTAATAGGTACCTACTTTAAAAACATTTGATACAAAATTAAACAAAACGCACACCGATCTAATTTCTAGAATATATTTTTAAAAAAACTGGTGATAATTAATAAAGTCACTCTGCTGTAGTGTTGTACATAGTAGAATTCAAATTTCGATAGTCACAATGTACCTCGTCATTGAGTACGTCATTGCAGTAATGGATGTGTTAAATTTAAATTTAATGATGGATCATTACATACGTATAAACGATTCTAAGCGGGACCGTCTTCTGATATAAGGTCTATATTCCTAAGAATATTTTATAATGTATTTATATTATTATAACTTATAAGACATTTTTTTTTCTATTAGTACTCTTATTGTAGGTTGAACTAATCATAATTGTTATTGACAACATCACATGTCATACAATAATATAAAAATTAATTTTTGTAATATTATTGCATATAATATTATTACTCGCCGTTATTAAATTAATAGCCAATATCGATGTATTGTAGAATAGTATAAATATAGTAGAAATAAATCTTCATATTTTGAAAATTTTACTGTGAAAAGAAAATTGAAAATAATGGTGATGGTAAAAAAATTTAAGTCCCTACGATTAACATTAAAAATTACGACAAAATATTATTTTTTTATTTTAGTTTTATTGTTTTATTTAATCATTTATCCTTCTACACTCTTGTTTTTGGTAAGTATTGGCATTTTTATCTGTAGATTTTCTTTAGCTTACATTGCATACATATGCTTAACCGATTAACAACAATAATATTGTATCAGGTTTACGACGTTTATCGAAATACCCATTCCAGCGTCCCTACACGCACGTATAATTAAAAATTAAATGATATAATATATAAATATTTGAACTATTTTCTCTGTAGGTATTTAATTTTCCTCTAATATTATTAATTAAAACAAATTTAACACTTTTGGAATTTAAATCAAATCCAATTACATCCAAGCTGCTCGATGTTGAATGTTTAGAGTGAGAAGTTTAATGTATTTAGCTTATTTTAAAACTGCTTAGAACCATATTCTCATGCACATTAGGTATAATACCTAAGTATATGTGAACCTCGATGATTTCCACATATTAATATATTATTATCGCTTTATGCAGTTGTACCTATACCTAATAATAGTAATATACACGCTGTTCTGGCTAATGTATTCTTCGAGACGATTTAACAATAATGGTGATTATGAATATGTCCGATATTATTGGATATGTATAGTTATAAACGAGAATAATACGCGTTCGTTACCAGTTACCACCCGACGACGTTTATGTAATTCCATAAACAGCTGTACAATCAATTATCATAAACTACGGGTACCGTATGGAGAACATTGCAATGGTAGCGTAGTACCGCGACTAAAAGAAACCGTACCAGCTGTGTTTAATCGTCTTTAATCGGCCGAATAAGTATATTCCAACCGAGGACAACTCTCGAGATTTACGCGGGATAGTCCAACAACAAACGGACAAATACATATTAATAATATACCTAACATTTTAATCACGACCAAAACAGAAAAATAATTAATCAATAATAGGTTTAATAATTAATTATAATACCTATGCATAATAACAGCAATTGTAATAACAGAAATAACAAAAATTAACCCATGCGGTTGGTGAAGGCGCCTCTAATACCTATAATGTATTATATTTTACACGAGTCTTGGGCTATATATAAAGTGTAACCGAGTACGGGGTAGTATCTAAGCAACCGTGGTTACGGGACATGTTCACCCTCGGTGCCTGTGCTGCGCGGTTTGAGGTGTGGAGGTGATGGTGTTGGTTGTGGTGTTGGTGTTGCTCATATATAAGTGCGTGTTATTAATGTAACCGAGTATGATGTTTATAAACCAGAACGATCAAAGATCCGAAGAAGGACGCTCGTTCCAAACAAGCTGCGTCTTACAGCAGGTCACCCGAAGAGGACCGCGGTTACCATCGTCCAGGTCATCATCACAGCCAGACGTTGACGATGACGATGGGCGGCCGACAGTCATCGGGAACGATGAAGTCGTCGTACAACGGCGGTGGTGGCGGCATGAACACTGGCAGGCGGAACACCGGCACGTCGTCTATGCGGCAGAGCACAAGCGTCGGCCACCTGTCGTCGTTTGGGGACGATGGAAACTCGCTGTCCAGGCAGGTGAATTCTGCGTACGATAACGAAGACGACGACGGGACCACCATGCAGGGCAAGAAGATCAAGAGGACAAAGTCCATGTGGAAGTTCAAAAAGTCCGGTTCGAGCGATGAAGTGCTGTTGACCGGCATGTCCATGTGGAAGCATAGGTCACTGGTGGACGTGAACGCCGCGGACGCGGAGGAGCAGCAGCAGCTGCAGCACAACAACAGTTACAACAACAAATCGTCGGCGGGCACACCGGTCGCCAACAAGAAGTTTACGGTAGCGTCGCGGGACATCGACATAGCCGCGGACGACGACGACAGCCAAACGATAATGAACGGTGGCGTGGGCGGCGGGTCGTCGACGGTGCGGCGGATGACATACGACAACCGTAAACAGCAGCCGCAGCAACAGCAACCTCTGCAGCAGCAGCATCGGAGCAGGAGATCGTCCTCGTCGAGTTTCGGCGGCGACGACTCCGAGTCGTGCATCGTGGTGGACGATCACTTGAAGGACGTCAGATCGGCACCACCACCTCCCGCCAGCCTGTTGCCCAGGACCCGATTGATCAAGCAGACGGCCGGGAAAGACGGTCAAGGGAACGGTGGCATGCAGCCGCAATCCGCGGCCGCGCACCAACACCACCACCACCATCACCACAACCAGCAACCGGCCACCATGATGATGATGATGCCGCCACCTCCACCGCCGCCTCCCGCTGTCCGGACCGCGACGGCGGACGACGGGTACGCTCCACACGACTCGGACGCGGACGTCCGGTTCGAGAGCTCCAAACTGCAGACTTTCAAGTACATCAACGCGACGCACAACGACGGCTGGTACGACTCGTGGGGAGAGAAGCGAAAGAAGTAGGACGCCAAAGGTAAAACCCCGCCTCCGTATACGACTTATCGGCGTATAAAATATGTACATAATATTATAATCTTCTATATATTAATAATGGCAATGTTTGTGTGTAAGCGATCCACGACTTGGTTCTGAAATTTGGTACATAGATACCATCTTATAGAATGTCCCTGCACCCCGAAGCCAATTTTTTCATTTTTCATTTTAAAGAGGGACTCATACTGTAAGGTTTTGTCTGTTCAAGAAAAACAAATATTATTTTTGTTTGTATATATAATATCCATACGGTTGTCATCGCAGGTTATAGCAAACAAAATAGTTATTATGATTTAGTATCATTTATTCATTTTAGAACTGTATTTTTAAACTCGGTCAATACCAGCCAAATTAATATGTTCAAAATAATATGTATATACATTCAATGGAGTTTAAGACAGGGTAAAATCCCTGAAGTTGTTTAATTTGCGACGGGAAACCCAAAATCGGCTATAATATTATTAATAAATATATCTACTATATAAAATCAAAGGATTATAACGGACAACCCTTTCGAAAATTGTCGTCAATACATTCAGCAAGTTCTTTTTTATTACTTACTTTCAACTTAACACCACATAAATTCTGAAAACAGTATCATTTTAGATTCTGAGCGGAGCGAAAGAATGTATTGATTTTACAATGACATGTATATTTTTATTTTCTGTCTATCAGCAACACATTGGATAGTAAAAATGCTCCGATTTTCAAAATCAGCATCTTTTCTAATAGAAAAGTGAATCTAGGTGATACTTTTAGGAAGTTAAAATTGAAAACTCCAAGTAGTTTTCAAAAACGTCAAGAAAAACAAAAAAGTGAAAAATAAAGTGGTAATTTTTAAGCGAAGCCAATTTTTAAAAAAATCAATTGTGTTCTACTGTAAAGCAGGGCGATAACCATTTGTCTACCTTTTTTTTGTTTAAATTAATATCTCATTGCCATTGGTATCAGAAAGAAAAATTTAAATAATTATTTTATTGGATATAATTTTACAACCGTATGTTATAATTTGTAAAAATAACCCAACTAACTGTGTTATAAATCTGTTCAGTTCACATTTAACAGAGCTTAAGAAGGGTTTGCATCCACGGAAAATGCCAGGAAGGCACAGCTAGTAATAATATAATATTATGTTGAAATTATAATAATATTGTAAATAAGTACCTACGAAACCCGCAATTATTGTACATGTACATTGTACAACTCCAAAATTGTATTGGTCGGCACATCCACTGCAATGGCTAAACGTCGCGTCAGCAGGCAAAGTATAGGACGTAAACACACCATACGGCATAGTATTATTATTTAATTTTGATAAGATTCTAACACAAAAATTATTATCTTAGACACTATTAATATTGATTTAAATTCCGAGATTCTACGGATAATACGGTTCACGAATAATCTTTTCCGGAATTATACGGTCTGAGATCTTATGGTCCGTGTAAATATGGTCCAATCTTATTATTATGCATTTCGAAATTTAACGGCCCATGCTATTATTTTCTGAGATTTTAAGTGCGCCCGGAACGGATATATTATATTATTAGAACTGTCATCCGTTTCAATGAAACGCCGAGAAACAGTCGAGTTTAACCACTTTCCAACGGTTCACTCTAGATGTGGTTTTTGGATGAAATTATATGGAAAATATAATTACTAACAATCCAATAGTGTAAACAATACTTTATCAAAAGTGATTTTCGTTCACATTGAACGACAGATAATCGGTAAGTACCCAGGTCCAACTTTTGTTCTGCACATCCAGTGAATCGCATCTTCTTTGAATCTATAAAATGATCACTTTCAGGGATAGTTTTTTTTTTTGTAAATAGTTTTATCGTGTTTTTGCAATTTAAGATAGCATAATATATTTTGTTTTTCTATTACGTAAAAACGTTATTTTATTATTTTCTTTGTTGACTATTGAACTCGGTCATTTGCGTAATCTTAATAAAATCGCACATTGACACATATTATCTAGTTTTTCCCTAGACTTAAAAGAATTGGTATTTACTAATTTTTTTTCGTCACTAGTCTCAACAATATTTTATAATATTCTTATCAGTTTTTCTATCTTTTTTTTTTATAGTTAAGTTGTCAGTTTGTCAGTTTTTTTGGACCTGACAATCCAAATGATCTTATGTACAATGTACATATTACCAATATAATACCATATTAAATTGAGAGAGGCCGCCGTATATAAGGAATTTATTTATTTTCTTGTTTTTTGTATATAATTCGACAATTCGACAGATCTATAAAATTATCACTATAGGTACGTATACGTACGACGTACCTATACTATTATTTATTGCGTTGTTTATCATCGTTTACATAAACAACCACGAGACGTGAGACGTCGTAAATTTGTACAGTCAAATTATAGTCGACTTTGGTGTTGGCGGAGGAGAGTTGGTAAACAAATGGCCTTTATAATTCAGTTAAGGTGAGTCTCGTATACAAGTATACAACAGACGATGTAGTTCTACACTTCTACGCTGGTGTCTATATATTTCTACGTGCTACAGTGGCAAGAGACCCGACGAGCCTATTTTATCCGATACAAATTCTGACTTACGATCAAACGGCGAACTTTAACGCAATTACTGTTATCAATTAAGTCTTGTAGAGCGAAGTAAACATTTTATGGGTTTCAGTATAATAGTAAAAGTAGTATAGTATCTACTATAGTGTTAGTATTTTAGTACCTACCTAGTAAAAGGTAGTAATGTTGTATAGCATTCTGCATTGCTAACTATTTGTATGTCATAATAATGATAATACTACGCCCAATATTTATTCAGTGCGCATAATGGACTGTTTTATTCAATGTTGTTTTCGTTTTATTTATTATTATTTTTATTTTAAACTGACATCGAGCTACTAGCGTTGTTCTATTGATAATAAAAAAAACGCATTATGCCGTTTCGAGTTAGTTTGTTTTGTTTTGGAACATTTGAACGGGACAAAGTGGTCCGCAAATAAAACTGTACAATAACAGCGTTGTAAAAACAACGAAAATTGCATCACAGCATTTTGAACGTTAAAACCTATTAAAACAATTAAGTGTACATTTTTTTTACGGTTGCAATTGTGTTGTCTTATATTATGGTGCATTGTATATTTGTATCATTGGAATTAAAATAAATATTTTATTTTAATGGTTGATATTTGTACATCGTACGCATGACACACGATGGTCGTTTGTTGTTCTTATAGAAAGTATATTTTGCTTTTTATGTTTAAACTTTAAATGTAAATAAAGTACTTATAATATTCTATATATGCATGTATAAGTACAAGTTAACAAAAACAAAACTACACACAAGATAAAAAAAAATCGTCAACGACGAAAATTCTATGGTTATAAACTTATAAACGAACATAATATATACAATATACATAGATGACTTTCGAATGCACATTTTGAACATGAATAATATTTTAAATTTAGCCAAATTTGGCTTTTTAAACTGAGTAAAGATAATAGTTCGAAACGAAAAGAAAAAATACATATTACACTTTCTATTATTTTCGATCTTAAATTATTCCTCTCGTGGTCAAAAAATTACAATTTACAATGTATACCTATTTTATTCGCGTTATGTGGATATTGAAGTAACTTTATACACCATAGCTGGGAAAATGGTTGATAACAATAGAATGAGATGGTTTCCGGCACGTTCAGAGATGGAATAGGATAATGAGGTAATACTGTAATATTTAGGAAGACACATCATATTAAATACGCTCTGAAGGAAGCCGAAGATAGGTAGGCAAAGAAAAAGTGATTATCAGAGGTCTCTTGAGTGGTGGATTCAGGGGGAAATGACGGAATTTGACCCTCCTCCGTAAACGCCATAGATCAGGGTTTCATATTAATTTGGTCTTTTAATTTACTTTATTTATATGATAAATTGTAATAGTTAGTGCCAAATAGTTATGTACCCATTCAGTTTAGTGAAGTTGTTAAACTTTAATGCTATTATTAAATATCAGTACCTACCTATCATAATAATAATAATTTATAATACTAATGCTAAAAAATTATTTTCAAGCACTGTCAGGTCTTGCATTTAAAAAGGACGTGAAGGCTTGAGGAGTGGATATATTATTATATAGATATGATCCGATGGTTGAGTATATGGGTACAGTTAGAGATATAGGAATGAAATGTTTTATGGGAAGAAGAGAAAAAAAAGAAGAAGCCACAGGTGTCTTAATTTGACGAACTGCCGTGTAGTGGTATATCTATAATCTATCCAACATGCACAAGCTGCTGCCAGTGCGATACGCCTATATACATCCTATAATCTAACCTATGATCTAACCTATGATGGGTATTATTATGTAGATACTTTGTTTCGATTTTATCGAAATACCATATAAATATGTATTTAGTGACTTATTACATAGGTCCGTAGTTAATATTAATACATGACGTGCTATGTGTGATTTTTATCAATAAAGAATAGTACCTAATGATTACAAAATTTTAATTTCAGAACGAACGTGTTTGCGACGATCAAACTGCGCAAAACCAACACCAACGACCGATCGGCGCCGAAGATCATATAATATAATAATATTAATGGTCACTAACCGAAAAGATCAATCATATAGAAATATTGTATGCCAGCATAATATTTTTCTAAATTTTTTTTCTACAAGTTAAGTTATCAGATTAAGTGAACAATTTTCTTCGAAATATTATATCATAACATTATATACTATTATTATATTATTATTATAGTTAGTCGTTTTACATACCAGAAAAAAAAAATCACTGTATATACACACTCGATATATGCAGGCCGAACATTGCTCAACTAATCTAATAGTGTCTGAACTCTATGTGTACACGACCGTTGTTGAAAATGTGTACAGTTAGGTTATATAGGTATGCAATAATATATAAGTATTTATCATAACGTAGGTATGTTCTAGGTGAGGTTACGCGATTGTAA